TACATGTCTTACTGTGTTGTATACATGTCTTACTGTGTTGTATACATGTCTTGCTGTGTTGTATACATGCTTGCTGTGTTGTATACATGTCTTGCTGTGTTGTATACATGCTTGCTGTGTTGTATACATGTCTTGCTGTGTTGTATACATGTCTTGCTGTGTTGTATACATGTCTTACTGTGTTGTATACATGTCTTGCTGTGTTGTATACATGCTTGCTGTGTTGCATACATGTCATGCTGTGTTGTATACATGTCTTGCTGTGTTGTATACATGTCTTACTGTGTTGTATACATGTCTTGCTGTGTTGTATACATGCTTGCTGTGTTGCATACATGTCATGCTGTGTTGTATACATGCTTGCTGTGTTGCATACATGTCATGCTGTGTTGTATACATGTCAAACTGTCTTGCATACATGTATGTTGTGTTCTTCACAAGGCAATCATGCCGTGTATACATATATCTATCCTTCATTTCCTACTGTATATATATTTATAGAAAATGATCAGACACTACCTTTTCAGATCTTCCAGTGGTGTTTCAATATGTTGCTGATAAGGCGAACTGATTGGCGATGACCGTAAAGAGTTCGCAAAGAAATGCAAATGTTTTACTAGCATACGAACAACACGTACATGATCTTGACTTGGCATGAAGTTCTCCTATTGGATAGAAAAAATTAGAAATTCATCAAAATAGGTTAACAAGTTCAGATACAATCAAACCTGTGTTAACGACCACCTCTATATAGTGGCCACCTACCTACAGGGGTCACAACCGAACAGTCCCTACAAAATGTACATGTAAAGTACCCTGTATATAGCGGCCACCTGTCTAACGCGGCCAACAGCTGAACATCAGTTGAACTGCATATAAGGAACACAGTACCACGATAAAAAAAATGTTGTTTGATTGTAATTTTTCATTGGCAACAAGTCTTCGTTTTTTTTGTGAATATACAGAAAATATTATGTAGGGTATTTTGTTGACTTTGGTGTTTTGGGTTAATGTTAAATTTTGGCACAGAACAACATATTTACAAGCAAATACTAGATAGGAAACTCAACAACTCAACAATAATGTTTATCAAATTAACAGGTAAACAATTCAAAATATAGAAAACCACTTAAATTTTTGTGATAAACAAAATTTTGTAGCAGTGAAGAATTCACTGGTTGCCTAAAGAGTAAATTTTTGTCCTCACAAACCCTATTAAATCATCAAGTTTTGAAAATTTATATCAGCGAAAGAAAAAACACACTCTCTACTTACTGTAACCTGTTGACTGAGACTTCTATCTCTTGTGTCGAGCGAATTCTGATTCAACCAGAACTCGGCTAGAATCAGTGAGAACGTCTCAGATCTCCAAGTCTCATGTGTTGTGGCATCCGTTGCCATGGTGGTCTGATTGACCGGTGTTCGAGAATGTATATTGGAGGAACCACGTAACAAACCACTAAAGGCTGGCGAATGCGTTAAGTGATGAGCTCGTTGTGAGTAGCCGCTGTGGGGAGTGTGAACGCTGGGAGACTGCCTGCTAGATGTTTAATGAAAACAGACTGATTTAATTTGCTAATAACAAGAAGACAAGCCAAGAAAATGATCGTATTACAACACAACAACGGACATTAAAGCGTTTATATGTTGTTGCCATGCATCAAGTGAAAGAACAGTTTTGAATTGTATAATTCCGAGGTGAGTAGTCTAACTGTAGATAACCATGAATGAAAACACCTTGATAAGAGCATCTAAGATGTGTGCACACTATGTGGTGCCTAACACATCGTCCGCTGGTGACATTTTGGCTATCCAGGGATAGTTTCAGTAGCCAATATGTTATTTTCAATGCATATCTCTGATCATGAGTGATTTCCCACTCATTAAGCACCAATATAAATGATATTATTATACATCTGTAACACCATAAGTTACAGCATGCCGTAATTTTGCGGTATTGCACTAGGTATTTGCATCCTACCATATTAGGAAATGCATGTAAACATCCTCTAAAAATAAAAACACACATGGAAGCCCCCAGGGTTTGACCGGACAAAGAAGTTCATTGTTCTAAACTTTATGGATTTCGGCATTCCCATGATGTATCATTGGAAGAAAAAGATGTATAATAATACGGTTATTATGGGGATATGGCAATATATGCACTCAGACAGTATGAGGTCGCATTAACCACGCTGCTCTTCAGTCGGCCACTATACTGTCTTTGTGCATACTTTGTGGTATCCTCGTAATAACATCACATAATGTATATATAGTTAAATACCATCAAGAGTGATTCAGTTGACCGTAACAGGAATGCCCACAAAAAATGTTACAAATTACCAGTACATTATACTTATACTAAACAACTGATCTATAATCTAGATAATTTTACTACTGGATGGTAACAGGGATTGCACAGATTTAATGATAAATGCTGATTTTTCAAACAGGTCTTGATGGTTTTGTGAGCAACATGTTTTAAGTGAACAAATAAATGTTAGTACTGGTATCCTATTATTTTAGCAGACTGGACTTAAGCTTACGGCACTCGTTCCTACGTTGCATTTTAGCAAGAGCAATAGTGCATTATTTTTACCTATCTGATCTGTCATGACATATAGAGACATCATCTCAATCAATCAAACCCATCATGACATAACTATAATACCGGTATATACATTAATAGCAGTATTGTCATGCATCTTGTTCAGCATGCATTTGCATGAAGACAAAAACATGCGAGCTCAGACATAATGAGACACTGAGTTTAGACAGATCAGATGCATGTATATTTTTTTAAAAGAGGAACTATCAATTGCAAGATACTCCAATATAACTTCCCTACATACATAAATTACTGTGATAATCTAGAGTTTGAAATTCAAGAAGGGCATGCAGGCAATTCCTGAGGTGTCTTGATCCAAAATAGTCCCTATTTGAATTTCAATTATTCAAACACATCTTTAGGTTTGTTGTGGATGCTTATCCACTTGTGTTTTTCCTCATTGATTCATATTTGTTGTTGTTTATTCAGTTTTATTCTTTCGTATTCGTAATTTAGTTATATTATTAGATCATGTTTTGCTTTATCTATTCGTCTTTATTTTGTTCAATTACATGCTATATTAACTGAGATACAACAATTGAAAGTTGTTACATGCCTGAAACTATACCGTAATGCATGTATCTCTATTGTAAAGAAACACAGATTCGGTTTACATAAGCCATTTTAATAATAATCAACAGACAGCATGAACGCAATAGGAATCAGTTGCAAGGTCGATTTTAAGCTGATGTGCCAATATTGAAATCCAATCACTGTGTCTCCCTACAATTTTAATCCATAGGTGTGAATTCTGCTCAACCCTATAAAAAGGGCATTTTATCGCTTTCTTATTACATTAACTACGTTCACGTTACGGGATCTCGGCACATGCCGAAATTTTTAATCAGTTGTGTTTGCAGAGGGATTACAGCAGTTGTGTTCACGTTATTCAGGACCCACTTAGGGCCGACTGGGCTGGTGCCGAAATCACGCTCTCATTCGTCGATCTGTTGGCCCAAACGATACGCATATGATGATAATAATAATTGTTATAGTGAAATTATATCCATTTGTTGCAATGGTGTTTATTACGAGCCATCGTGCACATGAACGGCAAAGAAGATTCGAAACATAATTATTTTTTTCACGTCAATGTAAAATGTGCAAGAAAATAGAGGTTGTAGCAGCACATAAATATGCGTCGCTGATGACGATTTGCATTCATTACTACAGCATCCGACCATCTACTAGTATATCCGAATTTCCTGTCATCGTAATTTCATGCTAGTATCAATCAACTTATGTTTTTTCTTAAATTTACCACCGGGGGCGTGATTTCGGCTCGTGCCGAGCGTTCAGGCAGCAAATCTCGGCACGTGCCGAGTTTCGGTCCCAAGCATCCATCGGGACCGAGATCGAGTTCTTTTCGGCACGTGCCGACTCGGTCCCGACCGTTCACACACAATTTTCGGCACTCGTCGACTCGGTCCCGAGTCTCAGCACGTGCCGAGATCTCTAACGTGAACGCCACTATTGTAATTTCTTTGTTGTAACATTTCCATAATAAACAGTGTATTGTTTAATTGTACATTACGCTTCCTTTATTGTAACTCTACTATTCAATGCATGCAGTTTGAACCTGATCGAATGTGAGCGAATAGCACCCACAAGGTTACCTGTAAAACTGAACAATGGTTCACAAAGTATCAATAAACTAGTATGCAAGGAATAAATTATCTGACCACAGATCAAAATTAAACCCCTACATACAAATAAAGTACTGTACCATTCTTAATAATCACCACAGACAAATCAAAATCAGCTGACATTTAGAAAAGAAACAAAATGAACACCCATTTAGTATTATCAACCAAGAGCACCATTTGTACATAAGATGTTCATATAACAACCACCATAACATATCAGATGTATTTACATAATTGAGCACTGTCTAATATATTTGGAGTGAATTGTGATAATGGATTGATTACAGTATATGAAGACATAGGGATTTATAGGGAATTAAATACAAAACTACACACGTATTGCACTAACTACAAGTTGCTACTGATGTTGTATCAGGGATTGCTATATACATGTACTTTTTAAGTATGTATAGATTTAACAATATCAGAGAAATGGCACTGATGCATTCTAACCTTCGGGCCAAGAAAGAGCTTGCTCTACAGTTGAGAAATGGAAATTAGCAGAGTACATGACATGACATGAATGCAAATAAATAAGACACAAAACAAAAATTATTGGATCTGGCATGCCAGCATAATATCATCATGCAATGCCACATTTACAGAAAGTAAAACAATGCACAGGCACAGGAGAGTGCAGCACCTACAGCATGCAGATGACCTCACCAGTTGCACTACATGCCATCACGTATATCGGGGGGGAAAAACTTACAGAAAATAGTGATACAGGACCCCATTCTGAGGAATTCTAGAAAGATTAAAACATCATAGAGTTAAGGGAGAAATAAATCAAATATTAGTATAATTCTATAAGATATGGCTCTAGTATAGAATTCCCTAAAACAAAATGGCCACCAGACGACCATTTTGAATCTGGTCAGAAAAACAAATTGATGTTCAAAAAGACTCCTAGTTTGAATGAAATTTAATCCATTCCAGAATGACAAAAATACAAGGTTTTGATGATGGCTCTAGAATAGCATTTGTTAAAACAAAATAATCACCAGCCGTCCATTTTTAATGTGATCTGAAAAAGACAAATTAAGCACATCAAGGATCCAATGTATACACTAAGATCCATCAATAGACAACCAAGATCTGATTCAGGAATGGCAGATATGGTACAGATACAGGTAGATAAAACTAAAGCCATCTGCCCTCATTGTCAAAATCACCCTCATCTGAGGTCACTTGATCAACTCAATACAGTGTATGTATACTTTAATGTGTTAGTGTATGCTGTGTTATAACAAAAATAATGCCATCAGTATACACACTGGTTAAGATAAAAATTTGGACACAGAATTTCATGTAATTTTATTCCATACTGGTATTTGAAAGCCTGAAGAAAAAACTTTTGGGGTAACTAAATTATTTTTTTAATCATGCACCTCAGATGTATGTATTTTTGCCAATTACCATTACGAATGGCCACCAAAGTAGGGCTTAATGCTAGTATCTGCTCATTTTATTCAATCTTCGCTCACCAAAATATCAAGAATTTGTATTCCTATCAAATTGTTAACATTAACCATGCCCATCCTTAATATAATTATCGATAATAATTCGCACTATGATACCATCTATACAAAATCTGACTCCTACCTGCTGTAAGGCGAGTGTAGCGGAGATTGATGGCTTGGAGACGATATGGAGTTGTTTCCCAGAGAAGAAACATTCTTGTTGTCAGCTGGCAGAAAGTAGTTCAAATAGTCTTCTAACACAGATGGATAAAGGCAATCAGATGGATTAGACCAGTTACTTAAGTGCTGGATAGTAAAATAGATAAAGGATTAGCATTGTCAGATTATACTTGCAATATGTTCTTAGACACTCATGTCTGATATCAATATTGTGTTCTTCTGTGAACATCATTTGAGGGGAGGTATCCTTACGACTTTTTATTGGGTATTCTTATACATACAGTAAATTGTTTACAATCCAGAGTCCTATGAATATCCAATCTCATTATAATCTGATGTATTGCACAGCATGAATTTAATTTTATTTAATATATTTTATTTTGACCATATATTTTTATTATTTTAAATTTGTTTTATTAGTAATATGTAAATCTTACTTTGAATTGCTTTAACCATTGCCACAAGCCTTGTGGGCTTTTGTGATTCTAAAAACTTTTAAAAAACTGCCAGAAAATAAATAAAAAATTCAAATAAAATAAAGTAAAAGAAAGTATATGATAAAAATAAATAATTAAAAACATATTTAGAAAAAAAAATGAGAAAAAAATACAGCCCAAACTAGGATCGTATTTTAAACAGGTTGATGGATATCATCTTTAATAAACTGGTCAGATATAATGTGGACTTTAAACATAATTGGTATTCCCTGCCTACAAGAACTGAAAACCAAACTGGGTTTAATCCAACACCAAATTCTCCACTAATTGTCAGGGGTTGGAATTGGCTCTGTATGCTTTTTATAGGTCTGCGATTTCCTCACTCACCTTATTCTTTGGATAGACGATGAAATATGCAAAGTGAAACATAAAATATTCAAAAGCATCTGTTTTATGGGGTTCAGGAAAACATTACAACAAAGACATGTGCAACATACAGAAATGAACTGCAAGAAATGACATGTTAAAGTTGCACTCCATACCACATAATAACGATTCAATTATGATGCAAATAATGATTTAACACTAAAGCAAATTGTGAATCAAATAATTATCTCCTACATTGTAATGATTCAAATAATGATTCATCAATGATTAAGAAAAATTATTCAAAATTCAAATACTCCTTACTACAAGTTATATTTATCAGTACTGACCTTGACACCGGGTGCCCTCAAATACCACAATACATATACATACATAATTACAGAGTTACAAACAGTAAACAAGACAGTACACGTCTATTGTATAAAGGATACTCAATGAAATAACGTTAGAAGGTCTTCCCTGTGTCTGGTATGATACTTTGTTACTATACAACACAGGGATAACACCACTTTGTATCGCATGTCGACTTGGGGCCTGTATACAAATAAATAAGTTATGCATGATGGTGTGTTGAGAATCAAATATCATGTTTATTCTAGCACTAGGAACAATCAATGGAAATCTATTTTATAATGAGCAATACTTAAACCTGTGGTGTGGCAGAATGCCATAACCTTACTTTGGTTACTTGCAAGTTGAACTAACAGCTAAATTCATCACATAAACTCACTCCCCTGAAAACTATAGTCAACTTGCGTCACCCTCACTCATAGTTTTTCAACAATTTTGACCTGGAAAGTCGCTACGACTCCAGTGAAATTTCAAAACTATGATTTCCACTGAATAGCAAAATTTAGTTTGTTGCAGAATTAAAGTTGTTTACTGTGCTTTTCAACTTAAGTCAACAAAATAAACCTGCATAATATTTTCCATATATAGAATCAAAACTATGAATAAGATTAGTTTCCATTTAAAAATTATATCCATTTTGTCAAAAATTAACAAAGACAAGCCATGCATGGCACAGTCCCCGTTAGTTATCAAATTTAAGACATAAAGTTTTGTTTATGGTAATATAGCTGGAATATAAACATGTCAGGAATAGGATGATTGTTTAACATTTAAATGATTGACATTTGTATCTGATCGTCAAACGAGTATTGAGAGATATTGCTCTGGAACAGCATTAATTAAAACAAAATCAGCCATTATGAATATATGTATAATGAATATATGAAATTTGAACATAGTCAGTCAAAGCATGTCAGAGATATGGCTCTAAAAGCCCATTCATTAAAACAAAATGGCAACGAGTCAGCCATTCAGAATCCGATCTAAAAAATAAAACAAGTTTTTTAGCACAAAAATAGCCACCATTAGGCCACTTTGAAAAGGATCGTCAAACCAATATATCCATATATCTGTGACATGATGTATAATGAATATTAAAAATCAGTCAAAACAAGTCAGACATATGGGTCTGGAAACCCATTCATTAAAATAAATAAAATGGCCACCGGACAGCCATTTTGAGTCTGATCTGAAAAATAAAATGATGTGCATCAGGAATCCGTAATGTCTAATGTATGTACCAAGTTTGAACGAAATCCATCCATAAATGCCAGAAATGCTTGATATTTGATGATTTTTTAGCACAAAAATGACAACCATTCGGCCATTTTGAATAGGATCGTCAAACCAATATGTCTGTCTATCTATGACATGATGTATAATGAATATTTAAAATTTGAACATAATCAGTCAAAACAAGTTGGAAATATGGGTCTAGAAGCCCATTCATTAAAACAAAATGGCC